AATTATAGGCTAGTTTGCATCATTTTCATTCAGTGTGCTTCTACAGCTTTATTAGGACTAGTCCTGTAATGTTGGTTTATTGTTTTTAAGCATTATTAGGGGGGATCAAGCAATCAAACATTTTCAGCAATCAATTTTCTGTACTGGTGTCTCTACCCCTCGACACCGCATCTTTTGTAATCAGCATTTCACTTATCAATAAAATCATCATCATTCAAAACCCAATTCTCTCTCAGCTTCCGCAATTGCTCGTGACATTGGTTTTCCCGCACGGCACTGACAATCTAGTCTAGCGTGCGGAGGGAACCTCATTGACGGACAACAACCGCACTGACATCGATTGCTTAGCCTTACGTTGCCCTTCCAAAGAACATCAGGAAGTCGTTGCGTATCAGTATATATATATGCCATTTAGGCTATTGTGCGTTTTTATTATTTTAACTTTCCCTCCATAGAAAACAATACGTCAAATCTTTCGCTCCAATTATTTTGGACAACAATTAATTGTTCGCTCCAATGAAAAAACAAAAGGAAACCCTATTCTCGGACATACAAAGTTGCGGCTGCATAGTCTCCGATTTGCCTCTGCTCCGCTATCTTCTTCTCAATTCCCAGGTAACTTTTTCTTCTTCCCTAGATAACTTCCTTTCTTACCCAGCAGGTTGCTAGCAATCAATTTACAGTTGATTTTGCGAACTTTCCTGCTCGATTATGCTCAATCATTGTTGTCAATCTTCTTCCTCTCATCCATCTTCAATTTCTATTTTCGTGTAGGTTTAAAAATTGCTGCAGAAATCATTCATGTCCTTCACTTTCTTGTCTTTATCGGCAATTTTTTTTTGCTTACCAGGTACCAATTTATGATTCTTGATATTCAACTATGGCATTTTGGGATTTGTGAAAAGTAAAGATTTTTCTGTGCTTTCTAAATCGTTTGTGATATCTGGCTACTGTTAGATTGGCAGTCGATTGATTGAATTAATTTCTCCTTTGTTCCTCTATTGTTTTATGAATTGATTCCTCTGTATATTTTTTAAGGCTACTATAATTTTTGTGATTGTTCAGAAATTTTCTATGTGTCGTTGATGCATATTGATGTTTTAGTTGAATACACTAGGCGAGACATGAATTCAATCATGTTCAAACTTTTTGCCTGAGTATGATATATATACTTTTTTTATTCTATTGTTAGTTGATGGTTTAAGTGGCTAAAAAGTTTGCGAAATATTTTGCAGCTGGTTAGTTTGTCCGCATGAAGGTTTTTTTTTAGTAATTCACTAGGCAAGTGCCTAGGGCTAGTTTATATATATCTAAATCCAAAAAAAAAAAACAAAATACCATGAAGTCTTACAAAATGTAGCGTATTAGACTTTGTAATTACATCACACCTATTACCATCATTGAATAATGAACTCAACCATGCTACTACACATTTGACTATGAAAAAATTACTTATATAAACTAGCCATAAAAAGATGAAATCAAGAAGATTTGCAGCTGAGCATTCTTATCCAGTGTTGCACCCTAAGATCGATGTCAATTCTGCAAAGGGACAATGCAGAATATACTCATATAGGTCCTTGTCCCTGCTGATGTCCATTGTCCATATTTGTCCTTTGATCGTTAATCTTGTCATCCTGCTCCAATGTTCCAATAATTCCCAATGGCCAAACCTGCTCATACATTGTTGCAATATCCTATGTGTACCTGTAATGTTTTTGCACATGCCATAAGTCCTCGCAAATATAAGAAAACTCACTGTCGAGCTTCTGTGTGAACTGATGATGTTGCACTTTTTGGTTGCATTTACGTGTGAGCTCCAACTATAGATCACTAAACCTTTTCCATATATGCAAATTAGGGATGTTAAATTTATAAGGAGTATTGAGATCATACTCTGTAACACATCTATCGATCCCATGATTTGGTTCCAAAGTACATGATCTGAAGGTTCCTTTTCCATAAATCTGGGCAGCCATGTCATGCATTTCCACCTCAATATTATAGTTGAGCTACCTGTTGATTGTATGCCACAATACTTCTCTATAACAAATTGGATATTCAGCAAATGTTTCATGTAAATGACAGCTAAATTGAAACTGTCCATTTGCAGAAATTCCTTTTGAAAAACTATCTCCAAGCTAATTGATTCCATGCTTGTGCTTGCCACTGATACACTCTCAAAGGAATGAGCACTAGGTGCTAATACCATCCATTGAGCTTGTATCAAATAGTAAGGCATGGCTACAGTAGCTTCCCCTGCAAAAAAGAACACAAAGTTAGTATAAAACCCGATCCCCATGACCTCCTCCCTAAGGATTTGATCAAGGTGATCGATTCTGTAGCTTCCAGTAGTCCTCCTGTCCATCGTGCTTCTTTCTTTCTCCCCTCCTAACCTCCTACAACTCTTATTCTAAAGTATGAAAATTGAGATTTATCATCATTCACAGTCCTCCTGTTTGAAAGGACCAGAATAATCTTTTATTAATATTTAAACAATAAAAGAATCTATTCAAAGTGAATTCTGGAAAATCCAATAAATGAGAAGAGCTAGAAGAGAAGAATGAGATAAACGAGTATATTTAGAACTTTGTTCTTTGTTGTACAATAATTTACTTACGATAAAATTTATTGAATCATTCTACATTCTCTTAAATCTTATTTCTGCTTCATCTTGCCCCATATTATTAGTTTTCTCGTGCTGCCACGTAAGTTGTGCATTTTAGGAGTTGATATTCATGCAGTTCTTCCTGATTCCCCCCTGGAACCCGTCAAAGGTGAAATATTTCCCATCTTAAATATAGACTTAGCAAATTTCTCAAAGAAAATCTCATTGTTCTCTGCATACTGTTTCACTAAGTTTAATAATTCTTGATTCTTAGTAATAAGTTGGTCTGAGTTCAATAGACCTTTTGAAGCCAACAAGTTTTTGAAATAGCTGTAGCACCTCTGTTTTCAGCATTTAGTTGCTGCAAAAAATTTTCCTGCTGACCATATTCTTAATTATATGAAAATCGGCAAGTAGGATCAGATGAGTCGGCCTTCAGCTCCTCCTCAAGTACCTTATCTCCTCCTTTGAATTGCTTAAGAGAATCAATTTTCTTTAATGCATCAGCTTGACAAGCTGGTTTGTAGTTCTTTTAGTCTTGAGCAATTTCTCACGCTTTTCATAGAAATTGAATTCATCCAATAGAGATGTTTCTCTGAGTAGCTCTTAAATATGTTAAGCATTTCCATACTTTCCTTCAGCCCAATCTCCTGAGTATCTCTGCTGTAGGTTACAGGTGTATTATCATTATTTTTTTAGTATAATGTGCCTAAACTGTGTGTTACGGACATCTTTAACAATGTGCCACTTCATTGGGAAGAACCCCCTCCACTTATCAGGCTGCCAAAAGTCCATATTTCTGTTGAAATCAACCTGCCCAACAGATGGAAGTTATAGAATAATTTTATTGTAAGTGTTATTTAAGAACTTCTAAGGTTTTGTTATTTTTTTACTTTAGAAATTTGTATTCGATGTTTGAGTAAATTCGTTGCACTTTTTTACTTATATTTTGCTTTATCAATTTAATGGTGATATTCTAAGGTGGTATTATCAGTGGATAATTACTTTTTATAGAGCATTAATAACTCTTATCTCGCACCCAAGGGTGTGGCTTAGTGGTCAATGAAGTGGGTGAGAACTATGAGGTCTCAGGTTCAAATCCCAGCGGAGACAAAAAACGCTAGGTGATTTCTTCCCATCTATCCTAAGCCTTGGTGGATAGAGTTACCTGGTACTTGTTGCTGGTGGGAGGTGGCAGGTATCCTGTGGAATTAATCGAGGTGCGCGCAAACTGACCCGGACACCACGGTTATCAAAAAAAAACTCTTATCTCTAGAATAATCTTTGTCGCAAGACTGATATGTTGAGAGTTATATGATGCTTCGTCCTATTTTGCATATGATTTGCTGATATGTTGGAGTTAATTGGTACTAGTATAACTTAATACAACTAGATAATTTCTTCATTTTGGAGAAGGAACTATGCAAATTAACTGACTGATAATTGAACAAGATGATGATGAAGATGTGCAACCTTATATTAAGGAAATGATGGATGGTCAAAACTACTCTGCAACCCTACCTTATATTGAGCGGTTGATGGATAATCAGAACTACTCTAAAGATCAAGCACATGATGATTGATCTAATGAGTTGAATAGTTCTGCTGGCGGCACTAAGGTTCAACCTAATGATGATGAAACTGGCACACCTTTCTCTGGAATTTTTTTCCAGATCTTAATTGTGTGAAAAATTTGGTCAATCTAACTAGTTTATATTGTGTAGTTCTGCTGGCGGCACTAAGGTTCAACCTAATGATGATGAAACTGGCACACCTTTCTCTGGAATTTTTTTCCAGATCTTAATTGTGTGAAAAATTTGGTCAATCTAACTAGTTTATATTGTGTAGTTCTGCTGGCGGCACTAAGGTTCAACCTAATGATGATGAAACTGGCACACCTTTCTCTGGAATTTTTTTCCAGATCTTAATTGTGTGAAAAATTTGGTCAATCTAACTAGTTTATATTGTGTAATTAGCAACTGGGCTTTTCTGCAATAAAAGTAATTTTTATTGTGCTATCTAACTAGTTTATATAGTGTAACTAGCAACAAAAATGAAATTGTTGTTTGCTTATATTTATTATGTTTTCAACACAAAACTGCTTTATTTTAGTGTATCTGGGAGGGGAAAGAAAAGTTGTTGCGGCTGTGTTGAGGTATTATGATTGAAGCTGTTTCACATTCCAAATTGGAGCTCTTAGAATTGTATTGTGATTGAAGCTATTTTAGTAGGCACATCTTTAAAGCATATAAGCTACATCTTCAGAGCAACATATGATGTTCTTTTTTGTTCTTCTGTTATAAAAATGTTTACTTGGTAGAAATTCAATTTGCGACACAGTGCTTATTTCAAATGTATTATAGTTAACAGTCTCAGCCTTATTATAACTTAAGTTTATAGATGTAAAACCAGCATATTGCTTAAGAAAGTATTAAAACCTTTTCAAATTCCTCCTCTTGTGCCTTGATCTGCCTCACTTGCTCCTGCACTGCAGTAGCTTCCTCATCCTCCAGTGATGTCCCTACATTTGCCATTAGAGAATCATCAACTTCATCACTGACAACAGTGTTGCACTTGGTTGACCATAAAGATTTACTCCGAGCTTGTTTGAACTAACTGTCCATCTCTAGGAAGGGGAAATGAGAATCCTCCATCTAAGTGACTCATTTTCTGCACCAAACTTTCTGTGGGTTTTTCTTGTGGCAGTTGGATGCATGGGTAAACTTAAATCTGTGTTCCCCATCTTCTGCCTCACATAAATCGTTAATTGGATATGTTTGGGAGAGAAAATATTTCTTAATAAAATTTTAATCATATAAAAGTATTGTTAGCTAATGTGTTAATATTTATCAGGTCCCTAACACCAACAACCGCCATGGACGAGTACCACAAACTTCAAGGATACCTAGTGTTGCCGAAAATACTTCACTTTCTCACCGTACTACTTATCTTTATCCTTTAGCGCGCCATTGTTTGAGTTTTTTACTGTTTGAATTTTCCCCCTCCAATTTATTTTATCACTAGCATTTGGTTCCATATACCCAAATGCTTTTGCCTTAACCGCTTTTTGCTACTGGTTGTTGTTCTCATTGCTGCTGCTCCATTACTCGCATAGTTATCACTAGAATTTGGTTCCATATAGATAGGTAAGGCTGCCACTCAGTTTGGTCCATTTTGTAGCAAAATGTACAAGTAGAAAATAGAAAATAGGATACCAGCACGAGTGGAGAAGATTTGTGCAAGTTGTTAATATGGATATGGGTCAAAAGAACAAGAATCCCACTTTGAAATGATTTTGATTGCTATGTGCACAATTGGTATATACACACATATTTGGTAAATCCATATACAATTGGTATATATGCCCACATTTTGAAGTGAAAATCTAATTGTTCACTGAAAGTGCACAGTTGGTATATAAGCACTCATTTGGTAAATCCATATACAATTATTAGGAAGTAGAAGGAAATATAAGCATCATACTTCTATTGGTAATTCATCTAATTTGGAGTAGATGGAGCTCTTCAGATGAGTAGAATATTTAGTGCAGAACTACAACTTCTTAAGTGAAATCCCTCCAAATCTTGCATAAAGTTTATATGTTTTTGTTGTCTACATTAGTTTGATTATCTCTGTCATGCATTCCTCTTATATTTAGTGATAACTAGTAGAAAAAAAAATTTGCTTGCTTATGTGTACATGCACAGTGCTCATATATTTTATCTATTGACATAGTTATTTTATAATTTCAGGTCATACAGCCTGATGATCGATAATTTAGCAGGTCAAAGATTTTGATATGATGAAGACTTACAGAAATTATTTGAAGACTATTATTTGTTAGGATGTTATGACCCTAACCCAGACCCAGTCGTGATGGCGCCTCTCGTGAAGACAAGACCAACCAACCCTTCCCATTTTCCAATTATTAATAGTTAAGCATTAAGAAAACAGTCTAAACATGGATAAATAAACCAAAGTTTAAGCGGTTAATAGCATAAATTGCGGAAAATACCCAATATAGCCCGGAACCGGGGTGTCACTAATCATGAGCATCTATAAGTCATAATACAAGTTTGCTAAGCCTATAAGCTAGTACAAATGTCTGAAAAGAGATAGAAATGACAAAGGAGGAGAAAAATGGGATTGCGGACGCCAAACAACTACCTTGTGGACTCTGATATTTGCCGGGAGCTCTTAACTTGCACTAGCAGGATCCGCAATGCCTGAATCTGCACACAGGGGTGCATGGAGTAAAGTGAGTACTCAAACTCAGTGAGTAACAAATGTAAATAAAAACTGAAAGTAAGAAATCATGTAAGGCACAAAGCATTCTATAATGAAGTAGTAAAACTATTTAAAAACAATAAAATCAGTGAGAGAGAGGTAAAATTCTTTAACTCAAATGTAGTTTCACGAAAAGTCTTTCAATGATTAAGCAGGTAATTAACAGTAAATTATGAAAAGTAAACATATAAAGGCTCGCCCCTCGGGCACAGTATCAATAAATCCGCCCTTCGGACTCAATCTCACATCACAATGGGTAAGCGCGTTCACTGGGGGTGTACAAACTCCTAGAGTGGCCCCTTATGGCCCAAGTGCAATATCAAGCTACCTCGTGGCATCATCACTAGGCCCTCGGCCTTATATCAATTAAGCCACCTCATGACGTATATATCTTAGGCCCTCGGCCTCATAATCAGTATCAAATGTTTCCTCACAACATAGGCTCTCGGCCTCACTCAGTCAAAAATCCTCACAAGCCACTCGGGCAATAGTAAAACAGTGTTTCTTAGCCAAAACATCATTTAAAAATATCATTTAAGTATTAAAACTGAGTAAACATGGCTGAGTACGAAAATAGTGGAAAATAACGTGACTGAGTTCAAGTATAAAATCAAAACAGTGAGGAAATATCAATAAAAATCTCCGAAGGGTTCAAATAGTTGGCACGAAGCCCAAATAATGATGATAGCAAATAGATTCCAGTCAAATACGCGGTGAAACCATCAATTGGGACGGACTAAGTCACAATCCCCAACAGTGCACTACTCCACGCTCGTCATCAAGTGTGTGCGTCACCTGAATATAGCACTAGGATGTGCAAATCCGGGGTTTCGAACCCTCAGAACATCATTTACAATCATTACTCACCTTGAACCGGTCAAATCTCTAGCTCGCGACGCCTTTGCCCCTCGAATCTGCCTACACTTGCGTCGAATCTATCCAAAATCAGAACGAGGACGTCAAAATATGCTAAGGGAACGAAGCCCAAGCGAAAACAATCAATATATGACACAAATCCCGAAATTACCAAAACCCGACCCCCAGGCCCACGACTCGGAATTCCAAAATTTTCACATCAATGGATTCCTTATCTCCCCACCAGTTCATACATATCAAAAACATCAAAATCCATCCACAAATGACCCTTCAAATCCCAAATTTTAGGTCTCCAATTTCAAGCCCTAGTTCTTCAATTTTTAGCTTAATTTTCATGATTATTTAGGTGGAATTCACGTTAGAATCGAGTTTTAAGTCAAAGAATCTTATCTCCAAGTGATTTCCTTTGAATCCCTCTTCAATCTCCTTCAAAAGCTCCAAAAATGACCAACAATGGAAGAAATAAGCCACATATTCGCAGATAAGACAACCTTTTAAACCTTCTGCCCATGCCTATTTCCTTCATCGCGATCGCGAAACACAAATTCTCAACTCCCAAAAATTACTTGCGAATGCGTACAATCACCTCCGAACGCGATGCTCAGGTAACTAACTCTACGCGATCGCGGACTGCCTACCGCGTTCGCAATGAACAAATTCAAGCCCAGACCCCAGGTTCACTTAACTCTACGCGAACGCAACCCACTCCACGCGTTCGCGATCAACAACTTCCTTACCTCTATGCGATCACAACCCAACCTTTGCAATTGCGAAAAACAAACTGGACTGCACCTCAAAAGCTTCTATGCGATCGCAGGAACCCTTACGCGATCGCAGAGAAGGAATCTTTGCAACAGCTGAACCTGCAATTCTGCAACTTCTCCAAGGCATAAAATGGTCTGATTGACCATCCGAAACTCACCCGAGACCCCCAGGACCTCAACCAAAGGCACCAACATATTCTAAAACCTCATTCAAACTTGTTCCAACCTTCGGAACGCTCAAAACAACATTAAAACACCAAATCGCATCAGATTCAAGTCTAAGAATTCCAAAATCTTCAAAATTACGCTTTTGATCAAAACCCAACCAAACCACGTCCGAATGACCTGAAATTTTGCACACATCCCAAATGACACAACAGAACTACTGCAACTCTCGAAATTCCATTCCGACCCGAATATTAAAATCTCGCCTACCAACCGGAAATTGCCAAAATAACAACTTCGTCAATTCAAGCCTAAATCTTCTCTAAACCTCCAAAACTCATTCCGATCACGCTCCTAAGTCACAAATCACCTCCCGAAGCTAACCGAACTATCGGAACTCACATCCGAGCCCTCTAACACATAAGTTAACATCCGGTTGACTTTTCTAACTTAAACTCACTCTAAAGAGACTAAGTGTCTCAAACCTTACCAAATCCTTTTCGAGCTCGATCTGACCAACCCGATACCACCTAACACGGATAAACAAACCATAACAAAGCAGAAATAGGGAAAACAGAGTGGTAACTCATGAGACGACGTGCCGGGTCATCACATCTTCCCCAACTTAAACAAACATTCGTCCGCGAACGAATCAAGAAACATACCTGAAGCCTCAAACATGTGAGGATATCTGCTCCGTATCTCCCGCTCGGTCTCCTAGGTAGCCTCCTCCACGGGCCGACCTCTCCATTGCACTTTTACTGAAGCTATATGCTTTGACCTCAACTTTCGAACCTGACAACCCAAAATAGCTATTGGCTCCACATCATAAGTCAAATCATCATCCAATTGAACCGTGCTGAAATCCAAAACATGAGACGGATCCCCAAAATACTTCCAGAGCATAGAAAAACGAAATACTGGACGCACACTCGACAAGTTGGGTGGCAAAGCAAGCTCGTAAGCCACCTCCCCAATCCTCCGAATTACCTCAAAAGGCCCAATGAACCGAGGACTCAATTTACCTTTCTTTCCAAATCTCATAACACCCTTCATGGGCGAAACCTTCAACAGAACCTTCTTACCAACCATGTAGGACACATCTAGAACCTTCCTATCAGCATAACTCTTTTGCCTCGACTGCGCTGTACGAAAGCCTCTCCTGAATACCTTCACCTTTTCTAAAGCATCCTGCACCAAATCCGTCCCCAATAGCCTACCCTCACCGGGCTCGAACCAACCAACTGGAGATCTACATCGGCTCTCATACAAAGCCTCATATGGAGCCATCTGAATACTTGACTGGTAGCTATTGTTATAAACAAACTTTGCAAATGGTAGAAACTGATCCTATGACCCTCCGAAATCAATGACACAAGCACGCAACATGTCCTCCAATATCTGAATAGTGCGCTCGGACTGCTCGTCCGTCTGAGGGTGAAAAGTTGTGCTCAACTCGACCTGAGTACCCAGCTCTCACTGCATAGACCTCCAAAACTACGAAGTAAACTGAGTGCCCCTATCTGAAATGATGGAAACTGGGACACCATGCAACCGAACAATCTCCCGGATATAGATCTCTGTCAACCGCTCTGAAGAATAGGTAGTACACAAAGGAATGAAGTGTGCGGACTTGGTCAGCCGATCCACAATCACCTAAATAGCATCGAACTTCCTCAAAGTCCGTGGAAGTCCAACTACAAAGTCCATAGTGATCCTCTCCCACTTCCACTCGGGAATATCCATCCGCTGAAGCAAGCCACCCGATCTTTGATGCTCGTATTTCACCTGCTGATAATTGAGACACCGAGCTACCAATCCCACAATGTCTTTCTTCATTCTCTGCCACCAATAGTGCTGCCTCAGATCCTGATACATCTTCGTGGCACCCAGATGAATGGAATACCGCGAGCTATGGGTCTCCTCCAGAATCAACTCCCGAAGCCCATCCACATTGGGCACACAAATCCGGCCCTGCATCCTCAACAAACCATCATCACCAATGGTCATATCTCTAGAATCATTATGCTGAACTCTGTCCTTGACGACAAGCAAATGCGGATCATCATACTGGCGCTCTCTAATGAGATCATATAAGGAAGATCGAGAAATCACACAAGCCAATACCCGATTGGGCTCTAAAACATCTAATCTCACAAATCGATTGGCCAAAGCCTGAACATCAACTACAAGAGATCTCTCCCCAATTGGAATATATGTCAAACTCCCCATACTCACCGCCATTTGGCTCAAGGCATCGGCCACCACATTGGCCTTTCTCTGATGGTACAATATAGTGATATCATAATCCTTAAGCAACTCCAACCACCTCTGCTGCCTCAAATTGAGATCCTTCTGCTTGAACAAGTGTTGAAGACTACGATGATAAGTAAACACCTCACAAGACATACCATACAAGTAATGCCTCCAAATTTTCAATGCGTGAACCATGGCAGCCAATTCCAAATCATGAACGGGATAGTTCTTCTTATGGGGCTTCAACTGACGAGAAGCATAAGCAATAACTCTACCCTCCTGCATCAATACACAACCAATGCTAACTCTCGAAGCATCACAATACACGGTATATGAACCTGAAGTTAATGGCAAAACTAACACTGGAGTTGTGGTCAAAGCTGTCTTGAGCTTCCGAAAGCTCTCCTTACACTTGTCCGACCATACAAATGAAATACCCTTCTGAGTCAACTTGGTCAAGGGCGATGCGATAGATGAGAATCCTTAAACAAATCGGCGATAATAACCCGCCAAACCAAGAAAGCTGCGAATCTCTGTGGCTGAGGACGGTCTGGGCCAACTCTGAACCGCCTCTATCTTCTTCGGATCAACTTGAATACCCTCGCTGGACACCAGGTGCCCCAAGAAAGCCACTGAACTGAGCCAAAAATTACACTTGGAGAATTTTGCATAAAGCTTTTCCTCTCTCAATCTCTGCAACAAAACTCTCAAATGTTTCGCATGCTCCTCATAACTACGCGAATACACCAGAATATCATCAATGAAGACTATGACAAACGAGTCAAGATAAGGCCAGAAAACAATGTTCATCAAATGCATGAACGCTGCTCGGGCATTGGTCAGCCCAAAAGATATCACCAAGAACTCATAATGACCATATCGGGTCCTGAAAACTGTCTTATGAATATTCGAGTCCTTGATCTTCAACTGGTGAT